CAGGGGGAGGGGGGATTGGAGTGAAGAGGAGGAGTGGTAAGTGGTGGTCATGGATAATGTAGCACACAGCTCGAGTCTGAGTGGTTTTGAGTTCTCTTTTGTACTTTTAGCAGAACATTTAACACTTTGCACACTGTCACCCTAACCATCCTGCTTTCATTACAGTGTAATGGCAGGATTATTAACATTCAGATGCAACTCAGGTAAACTACAAAGACCCAAAAGTTAAGGAAGAGTACAGATGGAAACCATATGCATTTTCTAAACACACAAAAACTGCCAAAATTAAAGCCCTCACTTATGTTTCTTATTTAAAAAAGGCAAAACACATAATTCATGACAGTTACATAAGCCAAGCACAAGAAAACTAAAAGACTACTTGGGTCCAAGCACTTTTTTGCAAGCAGCACCCCAGTAGCCAATGCGTGTACATACCATTCAAGTTTCATGGTAATCAGCCAATTCTAAATGTGTCAAATGCTTGCTGAAAGCTGACTGGCCAACAGCAGCCATGGTAAGCCAAATACAGACTAAAAGAAGGACATAGCTTATGTATTATATATAATTTCAACATAATTTCAACAATTTCAGAGAAACAGTTACTTGAATGTTATAGCTCCCATTATACCAATGTCAAAATTGGCATCTCCACAATCTCATATTCATAGACCATAACCATAGATCACTATCCATTATCCCTGTGCAATCTCTGTGAGACAAAGTCTGAAGATGTCTTGAGCCAAGGTTCGTGAATATTTGATAAAATTGGTAACCAATGAAGAGAAAAACAATCTAGCGTATTATGCAAATTAGCTCAAAATCCCAGTGGACAGAGCTTAATAGGCTTTCAGTGTTATATGAGTTAAGGAACAAGAAATACGCCTCATGCTTTCTAAGATGTGAGTGAAAATACAAAATGCTGTGTTATAATGCCACAAACAGGCCGATCATGCTTGAGTAGGGGAAGGCATAGTACTTACCAAGTTTCATGACCCTATAATTTCCAGTTTGGTCTGCACAATTCATGCTAGGACCCTTAAACTCAAAGGATTATACCAAGGGGAGGGAGTAACATAAGGCTTCAAATGAAAAATATTCTATATTTTACACTGTAAAACTATAAATAACTACTATGTTAAATGTCAAATAATTAAGCCTTTAAAGTCTCAGCTTAATAAAGTTATTCATATTATTCAGTAACTGCTCTGAATTATTCTACAGGAATATAATTCTCGACCCACACATGTGGGACTTGTGGGTGTTTAAGTCATTAAATATAGATTTAAGCTGTGTCAAAGAGCAGCCTAGAGCAATTTTAGAGAGGGAACAGTTGTGTTTCTAACACATCAGTCCTTTTTTAGCAAACACAAGAAAAGCAGAGCTTTGACATGCAGCAATTGTTGTTGATCGAGTTATCTGATTTATTAAATACTCTTCAAAATATCCAAACTGGTTCTATTCCAACCCAGAATGCACCATTATCCATTTATCCCTGCTGAAGGCTACAACGGCGACTGATGAAGTGTGAATCAGTTTGGCTTTGTTCATTTCATACCATTCCATAGTCGACCCCGTTAGTGATGGTGTGTCGCCTCGGCTCTTCTCGGCTCCTGCTGTGCCGCCTGGTCGCCGTGAACCCTGTAGTCGTCTCGCTCTGTGACCGAGGCAGACCAACACGTTCACCCTGCTTCTGACCTGAGATTGAGAGAAAAGGAAGAAGATAAAGAGAAGATGAGAAGATTTATTTTGGATTTTGGCGTTAAGCTTGCATTAAGGCTTATGGCTTTTAAAAAAAAAAAAAACTTGTTTGAGGGAGAATGTAAGTAGAGCTATGACTCCTGTTTTACAAAACACACATTCGCACATAAGTGTATTACAGTGTACTGAAAATACATCATGCAACATTTGCCCTCTCATGACAAAACCTAAATACTACAATTCCTGTGCGGATAAGAGCAGGTTAACTTGATTACTCATACAAGCAACCTGTTGTATTCTATCCTCAGGCTCTTCCTCTGTCAAATATAATTAAAATGTAATTATAAGTAGTTACCAAATGGCTTTAATTTGAGCCTCTGAAGAACATTTAGTTGTTAAAGGGAATGAGAAGAGCTTATTTGAAGAACATTTAGTTGTTAAAGGGAATGAGAAGAGCTTATTAAATATCATCTAACCACACCTATTGCTAATGTATTCATTCAAAACCTGACCCTTTTTACAATTTACTTTTTATCTTCACCATGTTTCCGCCTGCAATAATGCTCATGACAATATCAAAAATATATTAGCCACACGCACCCACTTCATGAAAAAGTCTAATAGTAAAGTACTGTGAATTTACTGTGCAATGACAAATGTAGCTTAGTGGCAACTGTTGCCCGAACTTACTGTAATTTACTGTATAATTCATGTTACTTTTTTAAATTTGCTTACAGGAGTGGACAAATCAGTCGCCCGGATACTCAGGACAAGCAGATTTTGTGCCTGAGCTAGTATTTTTATTTAAAGTTACAATAAAGTATGTTCAGAAGGCCAGAGAAAGGAAAAAACATGTACACACAATCGTTTTAGAATCAGGCACACAGTGAAAACGAAAAAAAAATGCAACTGTATGTAAAGTCAGCTCCAGAATTACTGGCACCCTTGGTAAAGATGGCTAAAAAATTCACCTAATCTCACTGAAAATATAAACTATCCTCCGGCATAGGTGGAGGTGCCAATAATTCTGGAGCTGACTGCAAATCTCAAAAATGACCTGTATATTATCAGTATGATGGAAATCTGTTGTGGCAATAGGGAACGTAAATCCACGTGCAATGTGACAACGTACGTCAGGCCACACCAGGGGCAAAAAAAAATAAAGAATGTTATTTTAACCAAAAGGGAGTGAGAGACAACACTTCTGTTTACTTATGAGCTGAGGGAGAGAATGTGAGCTTACACCCTGGAAGGAATTTGACCAGAAGTGTAGGAGCTCTGACAAGAAAAACAGTCCTGAATAGATAAGATGAACAGGATATTGAAAAGTAAATAATTCAGATTAGTAAGCTCATAAGATTGATTTATAGGGAAGCTTGTTTCTGCCATGTAGGAGAAAATATTATGCAGACTTATCTCCCAAGTACAATGTTTTTACCTCAATTATGCCTTTTCATCCTGCAATTGCGAGTTAGTACGACTTTGAGTCATAGCTGCGTGAAAATAACTTAAAAAAAAAAACAAAAATAAATTACAAGATATAAAAGGCGCAACTGAGTGATATTATCTCGGAATTGAGAGATAAAATCTTGCAATATTTACGCAATATTTACTCATTTGATAAAAAGTCACAAATGCAAGATAAATCTGTGCAATATTTCCTCATAGGTGGTGGAAACAAATGGTCATAGATTTAGGTTGCTAATTTAGGATTAGATTTTCCATAATCATGGAGAAATTAAGTGTGAGTTTATTGTCATTAATAAATTATTAGTTAAGAGTTTATTCTTAACTAACATTCTGTGTATTGTAATATTTTTCATCATAAGATCAATTTCTCTGTAAGATCAATTTCATCCACTTGGATCCAAAGCTTTAGCACCCCCTTCCCTCATCATTTCTCTGAACAGATAACACCTCAGGCCTGGGAAGTGTCTTCCTATGATAATTACATGTACCAAATGCTTAGTAGCGCAATTGTTAATCTCCAATGACAAATGGCTCAAGCCAGGGGAGTTCAGGGTGTGACTTTTCAGTAAAAACAACTTTAGATAATCCTCAACTTGAATTACAAAGACTTTTCAAATGTCTATTACAAGGTTTTACAGGGTACTCGGGATCAGGCTCTAAGGTTCTCAATGGAAGGTATCATTTGTACAAGACAAGCGCCAACAAGCTCCACTGCCCAGCCCCTTTAGTGTCAAATCAAGATAGCGATGAAATGTAGGAGTATGATGTGTGAAGGAAGTGTTGAGGAAAAAAAAACCTTTCTGGGGTGGATAGGTTCATTGTTACTGAATGCATATTTGCTGATTTGCCAAATAACACAGCTAAAGCTTTTCATTTTTTTTTCACATACACAGCATTCCTTTCCGCTGTCATTTCTCCTGTCTTGAAAACTATTTTGGAAATGACCCCTAGTCGGCCATGGGTTGGACAGGTTTCAAGTACTGGGTGTACACTTATCTTCTAAGATCCACCAGTTCAAGCAAGAAAAAAAATTACATCACCCCAGACCTGATCTGCAGCCTCCCTGCTTGTGATGTAAGCGCCAAGGCCTGGTATTACTGTACACCGCCCCTGGCAATGTCATGCTCATAGCCCCAGATATTTGAGGAGGAGAGAAAGAGTGCAGGAGTGAAAAAAAATGCAGACTGTAAGTCAAAACACGAATTGACTTGGGTGAACATGAGCAACACTCACAAGCAGTGAACTGGAAATCAAAGCCAGTCAGAATTTTGCAAGCACGTAGACTAACTGATCATGTGATACTGGCATGTATGTTGGTTCTGGTGGGCTGGTACGATTTGCATATTTTTTTCCCCAACCAAAGAGACCACAGTCCTTCCTTCTTGGTTCCTGTTGATTCACAAGACTGACAATTGTGAATTCTCAGGTCAAAGGTCAACTTTAGGTCTCAAATAGTTACCAGAAGCAAATGCGCATCTTTCACACTTCACATCCTTTCTTCTTCAGTGAACTCGTTTTTCCACCAGGCGAATTTTATTCCAAATTTTATATCTGTTTGGAATTATATTCACATGGTAGAAAAGCCTTTGCTGTCTCCCCTTGTCCGTCTGGGTTTCCTCTGGGTTCCCTGGTTTCCTCCTACCTCCCAAAAACAGGCTAAACTGCCTGTAGATGTGAATGTGTGTGCACTGTATAGAATTGGCTGTGAATTTTACAGTAATTTACAGGCAGCAGGGTTGCTCCAGTAATTCACCACAACTAGCTTGCTCTGATTCTTGCCTTGATCTTTCGAGTTAATTCAGTGTTGAAAGTGGCTGAATCAGTCTGAGCTAGTTGTGGTGCTTCAGTGGTTAAAGCTTTGAGTTATAGATCAGAAGGTCATGTGTTCAAATCCCAGCACCAAACTGCCAAGGCTCTTAACCTTCAGCTCAATTGTATCCTGCATCAGTTGTAAGTTGCTTGTTTTGAAAAGCATCAGCCAAATGAGCAAATGTACTGGATTACGTGTTATTTTAAACTATGTATGATATTACAGTACTTTACTGTAAATATGTTTACAGTTGTTTTACTGTACATTTTACACTACTTTACTGGCAACTCTGCTTCCAGTAAATTACTGTAAACTTTACAGCCATGTTTTTTTTACAGTGTGCATGATGCCTTGAGATGGACTGTCACCCCTTTCACCTTCATACCCAGTGCTCCCAGGATAGGCTCCGGGTCCACCATGACCCTGATCAGGACCCTGATAACGGAGCTCATTTTGATCTCTCAAAGTCATCAGATCATAATAAATAAATAAATAAATAAATAATCACCTGGAGGTCCTGGGGCCAAACTGAGAACCACAGGTAAAGGATATTAATTAATGAATGCATTAATTAATTAATTATGCAGAGAACTTACTTGTCTTGTGAAAAGACTCAGCCGGGATTGATTCCACTGACTGCACGCGCGTTGGCTGCTGCACCTTTTTCCCCACGCGAACCGAATCAGCCCGGTTAGGCGCGCGCTCGGGCGCCACGTGAACGCGCTCCAGGCTCCTGCCGCTCCTTGCGTATGGCTGAGCACTGGGATTCGGGTACGCTGAGGAATCGCTCGCGCAGTGTTTGCTCGAGCTGGTGTACACACAGTTCCTGCCGTCATACTGCTGTCGCGTGCGGTTTTGTGGCGCGCTCGCGCGGCTGTGGTGCACATTAGTCCCGTTGCTCGGTCCGAGAGGTCGCACTTTGAAGCCGTTGGGATGGAAGTGCTGTTTAGTGTGGGCTGAAGGATGTGCTTTGTCAGGATTGAGGATTGAGTATCGAAGTCCCGCCACGAAGCGCTGGAAAGTGAGGCAGCCGTGCGGCGGTGTGACCCGCCTCAGACTCTCCAGCACACCGCCGGGGAGATCCTGCGTGTCCGCGCCTTGCCACCGACTTTCGATCTCTGATATGTGCACATAGCCTCGCTTTCCGTCGTCTAAAATATCGAACAGAGTCCGCAGGCTGTGCAGAAACGCTTTGGGTAAACCGTCGGTGTTAAACTCTGCGTCTTGTGGTTGCATGCTGGTGTTTTTTAAAGCTTTAGCTGTATTCTCTGCGCACTCCTTTCTGCCAGAGCTGCTGGTTAGTCCGGTCTGCGTGCAGCTGGGATCTGGTGCGATCAAAGCCATGAAGCTCTGAAAAACAGATTCCAATCTACAATCACTGGAACTGTAATTAATCCAGGAATGAATCCAGACGCATCATTTAGATACTTTCCTTCCCACCCAGTTTTCTCTCTCTTCCAGTCTTCCAGAAATTCCCTCGAAACCCAACTTTCTCCACCACTCTTTTTTTTTTTTTTCAATAGATCCGCCCTTGAAACGGTTGCTCACCGACGCTTTCATTGGTTGCTCGCTGAACTGCTTCACGCTGATTGGCTATTACAAAAGCAACAGGGTTTGAGTTTTGTTCTTTATAGATTTGAATAGCAGTTGGCCAGGAGGTTATATTTTCACATGAAGTTGTATAGTCTCCAGATGGCTATGAAACATGATAGTTCTCTCCTTTTTTTTTTTTTTTTTTCAAAGAAACACATTTTAGTCTCTTTAAGCCTACTAATCAATATGAGGCCTAACAGCAGTGCAGTGTAATCTAAGCAGCAGTTCCTGCAGTAAAAGTCTATAGAGAAATGGCCACTTCATCATGCAAGCTGTGGGACATCAACTGACCATTAATCACATTCACTGATTTTCAGTCAATTCATTCATTCATTCATTCATTCATGTCAAGTACAGGTTAGGTTACGTTCAACTTTATTGTCATTGTCAGCGTACGAGTACAGAGAAAACGAAATGCAGTTAGCATCCAACTAGTAGTGCAAATAGCAAATAAGTTAAATGAAGTAATAAGTTTATGGTGCAATAAGTTAACAGTGTACTGGTAAAGGTAAACAGCGTGATGCATACCAGTAATGCAAATGGCAATTAAGTTAAATGAAATAAGTAAGAATTATGGTGCAGTAAGCTGAGATAAACAGTATACAGGTAGATGTAAACAGCACGATGCATGCAGTATGATGCACTAGATCCATACAGTGGATAAAATGCAGATGTGCAAATAGCAATAATGTGCAAATAACAGTCTGATATAAATAAATGAAGTAATGACAGATAATTGCATTAAAGTGCAAGTACTTGCACTTGCAGATAATAACAGGAGAGCTACTGTAACAATTCTACAGTGACAATTGTGACTATTGTAATTTTTTGTTACTCAATGATCATATAATTCTGCCCTTAAATCCTGTCGGAAATATCGTAATTACGAGGTAAATGCATGTCATAATTACAGCCGACTTTCCGAATTAGGGCCTACAGCTGACCGTAAGATTTAAGTGGTAATTTTGCAATGTTAAAATAAACTCTTTGTTATTGATGATACAAAATTTAAAAAAAAAAAAAAGCTTTCTTACATCATTCAATTTTTTACTACCAAAACCAAAACCACAACATTTACCATGTCGTAATCACGACCTCTGAACTCGTATGCATGTATCTTCAGAGGAGGACTTGATGGAAGCATAAATTACAGACTTCATAGCACCATGAATGAGGTTACAGTTGCATGTATGCATTTAGAGAAAACAAATGTGTTACAGTTGTGCCTGATTTCCCGTAACCGCTTCATCCTGGTCAGTGACACAGTTCCTGTCCCAGGAACACTACGTGTGAAGCAGGAATACACCCTAGATGCACTATACACGCACATTCACACACTGGAAAACTGAAGAAACCCACTCATACACGGAGAGAACATCCAAAGAAACTCCACACAGACAGCAGCCTGAGCTCAGGATCGAACTGGAGGCCCTGGAGCTGTGAGGCATCAATGATACCCGCTGCACAACATGCTATTTACTTTCAAAATATAAACCTAAATTAATATCCTGAAATCAGAAATAATAGCCTAGACTAGCTGCTTTTCTACTGTAGCTGAAACGAAAAGCTCCTTGTCCCTTTCACCGGTGCTTGGCTCATCTTAACCAGAACCAAATCATAGCCAAACCTCTAAGCGCTTGTGCACACACTGTATAATTTTGCAGTGGAAAATAAGGTTAAAGTTAGACAGTTTGGAAGTAACAAAAGCCTGTTAGCAGTGATGCAGACATCCATCAGCAATATGACGATGATGGTTATAAAACTATAACAACAAATAAGCATATACATTGTATAAAGGCATAAAGACAGGAAGGAAAAGCAAAAATTGACATAGAGGATGTTTTTCGCTTCAAAAATCCAGTACAGAAAGAACAGCAGGGTAAACTTCTCTACCTGACTAGCTCCATTTTGAATAAAGTATTAGAAATTAAATTCAGCTTTCAAACTGTCACAATTCATCGCCATGACTGCAGATCTGATGCTGGCAACAAACACAGTAGGACGACATGGAGGCTAATGATTCTACCACAGAGCTTCAGGGTCTGGAGTTCGATCCTGAGCTGTGGATCCATCATGACCCTGACCAGGATAAAGCAGTTCCTAACATAAATTAATGAACGAATGAACAAATCCAAGAAAGAGACCAGGAACCAGCGCTAGTGTTTTACCTTCAGGGCTTAAGACCATAGGTTTAAGTTCCTCAGCAGAAAAGAGGCTGACCATTAAATAGCCCTCATGCATGATCACTCTTCTGCAAGATCTCCTGCAGATCCTCTCATTGTATGTTTCTCAATCATGCAAGCAAACATACACATTTTTATTGCAGTTCTGAACTACCTACAAAGCTAAATCATGCATAAGTATTCATACTCTATCCGCATTTGTCCTTCCTTTTAACTCTTTCTCGGTTCAAAAGACATCAGTGCTGGACCACTGCATTTTATTTTAAAAGAAATGTTTCAAAGTAACTTAAAGCTTTTGTATCATATGATTTGCTCTGGATTAGTGTATACATTAGGGCCAAGAACAGAGGTTACATGCAGTGTCTGAAATTATTTTACAAATTCTGTCCCCAGACATAAAATCCTAATGCACTGATCATAGCATTAATCCCTCAAAATCCTATATTCTTATATACTGAATTATTCAGTAACTACAATGAAAAAGGAAAAACTCCTAGGAGTGTAAGTGGTTAATTTGGGGCTAGAAATTGTAAAAGGTTTCTAATCACTGTTACTGACTGAACTTTGGTCTCTCTGCTTAACCAGACTAAAATACCGCCTTTGTTTTTCCAAATCTTTTCATTTAACCACCTTGCACTGAGCTCACAGATATGTGAGTGCAATTAGGTCAAGACAGAAACTTTTTGGATTTGAACCGAAGATGGATTTTTCAGACATTTTTTTCTCTGTTATTCCTTTTTCTCCTCTGTACTGACAGTCAGGATTCATCTGGATTACTCCAGGCTAGATTAAAGTGTATTTTCCATTAGTACTAAATGAGTGGGTTCTCCACATGACTGTTTATTTCCTCTCCTTACTTGACCATTAAATGAAATTCTATTGTAAATGTCCTATTTTAACCCTTAAAACCAATACCTATCTTTCATACTTTCATTCCTCACTTTCTTAACTACACACCTTTAGTTTCACTGTAGTTACTGAATAACTCTTACTAGTAATTAATTATATGTTTTAAGACACAAATATGTTTTAACTACTGAGTAATAAGCTATTGTAATGCAAATGATATGATTATTACAGGTCTACAAACACATCACAAACTGCATCTCTACTGCAAGGTCAACAATAATCGATTTTTAAATACAGTATGAATGATACTGCCAAGCAGGGAGTATATTTCTGCAAAAATCATCATTTTATTAAAAAATATATAAATATCTTACTGTGCATGTCTGTCCTCTATCTTCCACTCACTGCGCTCAAGAAAAACTCAAAAGGTCACACTGAAACATCTCTATTAATCCCCTTGTGCATGTTTT